CCTGAACGACCACAATACCGAGGTCCACTGTAACTTACCCCGATCCTGGCGGTTTCAGCCTTGGTACCTTGGCCTTTCATTAATCTCGAACAGTGACCAAGAGCGAGCGGCTAGTACCCTTCCCATTTTGCCATCCATTAAATAATACATCTGCACATTATCATATACACACCGAATAAATCAATATAATCAATGCTCGCTAACAAACACCGCCGCCATGCCCATGCCGCTGCCAATACACATGCTGGTAACGAAGATACGGGCATCGTACTGTTGTGCGATGTTGAGGCCAGTCGCAATCTGACGGGCGCCAGCTGAAAGCGAGACCGGTTTAGCACAGCACCACGACGTGAATCGACAACACTCACTGCATCCCAAAGGATGTCCCAAGGCGATCGCTCCGCCATGGACATTCACCTTCTCCACCGGGATACCAAGCTTACGGACGCTATAAAGAGCCTGGGACGCAAACGCCTCGTTGATCTCCCAGAAATCGACGTCCGAGAGGCTGAGACCCGTCTTTTCGAGCACCTGGAAGAGAAATTCAGCATCAGACGCACCAAAGCACAAAGCAACTCACCTTTGGAATAGCATATGCTGGGCCAATACCCATGACTTTTGGCGGGACACCGACGGTCTGCGCCAACGCGAATTTCCCACGTATAGGCAGCCCGAGCCTCTCTGCGACGTCTCGCCTCGCCAACAACACAGCCGCAGCACCGTCGGAGACCTGGCTCGCGTTTCCGGCGTGAGTAGAGCCAGTCTTCGAAAAGGCCGGCTTCAGCTTTGAGAGGGACTCGGGCGTGACGCCGTCGCGAATGCCGTCATCGAAATCAACGACGACCTCCTTCTCCGTCTCCTCGCCGTCCTTGCCCTTGACGGTGATCGTCGCCTTCACCGGTAGGATTTCGGCCTTGAATTTGCCGGCTTTGAGGGCGGCGCTGGCCTTCTGGAAAGAGGCGGCAGCAAACGCGTCTTGGTCGGCGCGGGAAACGTTATACGCCGACGCGACGTTTTCGGAGGTTATACCCATGGGGAGCAAGCAGTCCTGCGCTTCGGAATTCGAGAGGACCTCGTCGGAATACGAGGAGGCGATACCGCCTGGACCGTAGCCCATGGTCATGCTCTCGACACCGGCACCTACACAAGGTGAATGGATGGCAAACAGACAGAGAATATTATAACGCACCTATACCGATGCTGATTTCGCCCGCCTTGATCTGGTTCGCAATTTGGTTGACGCTGGTCAAACCGCTTGAGCATTGACGGTTGACTGTGTTCAGACTGGTCGTATCTGGTATGCCGGCGTGGAGAGCGGCCATCCTGGCAGCGTTGGCACCTCCACCAGCGGGTAGGACATTTCCGACGGATATGTCCTCGATGAGCTTGGGGTCGAGGCCAACAGACTGGTAGGATGCGCGGAGGACGTGTGAGAGCAGGAGTTCGGGATGAGTGTCCTTGAAGCCGCCCTTTCGTGCCTTTGTGATTGCGGTACGGATGGCAGAGACGATGACGACGTCGTCTGGGCGTTTTTGGAGGAGAGTGGCTCTGGACATGGCGGATGGAAAGAGAGAGACGAGTTGAGCCAGGTCTTTATATAAGTTTCATCAAAATCACATGCCAGTGGTCGGCTGTAAGCGCCGGCGTTAATCAGCACTTCAAACACGCGCGACGACAACATACTCGGCGTTGGCTTGACATAACTCGGGCTCGGAGCACAGATGATGCTATCTACGACTACCATCGACCAACGTCCTGGACGAGGCCAACGTTCTCGACGCTTTGAATGGCCAAAGTACATCTTTGTCCCCGCTTTGATGCTTCCAATAACATAGAAATGCCTCCAATTCGTCAAACCATCCCTCATCGAAAACATGCCCAAGACTTCAGATAAACCCAAGATCCCGCGCCCTCCAAATGCCTTCATCATCTACCGCTCACAAATGCAGCGTACCCTCCCACCCGAAACGATACGGAACCAACCAGAAGTGTCCAGGATCATTGGAGGAATGTGGCGCAGCGAACCCCCAGAAGTCAAAGCTCGCTTCGAAGAGCGTGCGGCGCTCAAGAAAAGGGAACACGAGCACGCGTATCCGGGGTACAAATACGCGCCGAGGAGGAAAGAGCCCAAGAATCAAGAGGATAGGCAATGGGCGAAGGACACCAAGGGTGTGGTCGCCTCTGAGCGTGATTACCATTCTGCGGCTGGTCTCCACGATAACCTCCAGGTAAAAGTTCTTCGGCTCCATCGACAACCTCAATGCTGACCTGAAGAAGCACCGTACCCCTACACCCGCCTTTCTCCTACAGGCAAACCAACCCGTTCAGTATCCATTCGAATACGCTGGGGCACCACCTGGGCTCGATCCTAGCTTCGATTTCTATTCGCCCAATCAATGTGATGTCGGAATGACATCCATGGCCCCTCCGAACGTCGCCTATTATCTGCCGTATCTGTACAGCGGCTCAGTCGGTTTTAGCGATATGGGTTCCTACGCCCCAAGGCCGAGCGCTGACGACGAATGGAACGGGTATATCAATATGCTATCAGCATAGACAGGACGTTAAATTGGTTGTGATGGATGAAACCGGACTGCGCTGTAGCAGCATGTAGACATAAATTCGCTCCCTTTCTAAATTTGAATGTATCCTTTAGCTTTATGCATCGTGAAATGTAGCAGGATAACGCACGATTATAAAGTCAGGCGAGCATTATGACGGTAAGCAAGACGATCAACAACAAAGTTCGGCGAGCGATTCGAGGGAAAATGACATCGCGGCCTCGTAAACTTTAGCAGCAGCAGCGAATGAGGTTCTTAATTCTAGCAGCTCTTCAAAGGAAGGCAAAGAGAAGAACAAAAGGACGTACATTCTCAACCGTTACCGTCGCATCCAACCAGCCTCCACCAACGTTCGCATAATTCCTCAATGCCCAAGCCTCAGATCCATCGAATCGACGTGAATGGGCGCCCTCAATAAAGACCCGGATTCCAGTTCGTCGAATCACCTCCAAGTGTGTGTTCAGTATGTCATTATCCCGAAAAGGAAAAGCAGGAGACACTGACTGGATCGACTCATCGTCCAAAAACGCCTCGTAAAACACGATCTTGAGTAGATTTGGGGGTGGATGGTGTTGTGGAGGCTGAAGAAGCTTCAGCGAGGAATAAAGATTTCTCCCGTGACGAGGAGACAAAGTTCAAGTGTGCATGTGATGGGTCATCAAATGGTCACGCGCACGCGCCGACGATTTTTGTTTGATTTCTCGTCCGACCTTCATAAGTTCACATAGACAGACGCTTATCTGGGCTCGCTTGAGCTATACTTCGCTTCTTATTCTCCACTTTTTTCCCCAGGTCAACTTGCGGGTGACACTTGTCAATTTTGAATCAACATGGGAAGCATTTATCTCATGAACCTGCAGTACCATCTTATCC